ACTATGAGCCTATAAACCCAGTGAAGGGGGCGGGCAGTGATGAAGAGAACAGAGTCTAAAAGGGGAAAGGGGATGTTAGGAGGAGAAATCAAGAGTTGGACGCTTAACCTACTGTGCCACCCCTATACCACGTCTTTATCCATTCACCTATTTTATTTTATCATCCATTCTATTTATTTTATTTTATTTTTATTTTTTAAAAAGATTTTATTTATTTATTTGACAGAGAGAGACACAGCGAGAGAAGGAACACAAGCGGGGAGAGTGGGAGAGGGAGAAGCAGGCTTCCTGCCGAGCAAGGAGCCCGGTGTGGGGCTCGATCCCAGGACCCTGGGATCATGACCTGAGCTGAAGGCAGACACTTAACGACTGAGCCACCCAGGCACCCCCTATTTTTTTTATTTTAATTTTATTATGTTATGTTAGTCACCATACAATACATCATTAGTTTTTGATGTGGTGATCCACGATCCATTGTTTTCGTATAACACCCAGTGCTCCATGCAGTACGTGCCCTCCATAATACCCATCACTGGGCTAACCAATCCCCCCTCCCCACTTCCCTCTAAAACCCTGTTTGTTTCTCAGAGTCCATAGTCTCTCATGGTTCATCTCTCCCTCCAGTTGCCCCCCTCACCTTTCCCTTCCTTCTCCTAGTGTCCTTCATGCTATTCCTTATGTTCCACAAATAAGTGAAACCATATAATTGATTTTCTCTGCTTGACTTATTTCATTTAGCATAATCTCCTCCTGTCCCATCCATGTTGATGTAAAAGTTGGGTATTCATCTTTTCTGATGGCTGAGTAATATTCCATTGTATATATGGACCACATCTTCTTTATCCATTCATCTGTTGAAGGGCATCTCGTCTCTTTCCACAGTTTGGCTATTGCTACCATATCATCCATTCTATTGATGGACATTTGGGCTCTTTCCATAATTTGGCTATTGTAGATTATGCTGCTATAAACATCAGGGTGCATGGATTCCCTTCAAATTAGTACTTTTATATTCTTTAGGTAAATATCTAGTAGTGCGATTGCTGGATTGTAAGGTTGTTGTATTTTTAACTTTTTTAAAATTTTCTTATTTATTTATTTATTTGTTTGTTTGTTTGTTTGTTTGTTTTTAACTTTTTGAGGAAACTCCATACTGTTTTCCAGAGTGGCTGCATCTTTTAGTTTTCCTATGTGAATATATTCTCTGGAGTTAACTGCACTGGTTCAAATTCTCCCATTTTTCTAGCTGAATGGGCAGGTGAGCAAGTGACCTAACTATTCTGACCTCACTATTGTCACAATGAGTACACAATAAGTATTTTCTATTATCATTATTTAAAAAGTGCCCAGCAGGACAAGGTATGTCATCTGAAGACCTTTAGATATGTTTGTGCCAAATTTATTGGGTACACGAGAGATCATTTCTACTGAAATTCTCAAGTATTATAGGTGATAAGCATACCATTATCGCTTTTGTTCCACTAAATTCTTTTTTACTTTGAGATCTTGTCACCCTTATTTATTTGGTTTGGTTTACCCTTAAATGTGACTTCTTTAAGTAGTTTATGGAAATTTTCTCCAAGTATGAAAGATTGAAGTCTAAGTCTTTCATATTTTTGCTCCTTTTCTTTCTCCTTTAAGATTTATGATGGGTGAGGGGCACCTGGGTGGCTCAGTCAGTTAAGCATGTGACTCTTGATTTCAGCTAAGGTCTTGATATCAGGATCGTGAATTGAAGCCTCACGTCGGGCTCCACGCTGGGCATGGAGTCAACTTAAAGAAAATTTTTTATGATGGGTGAAATTATTTTATTGGTTTTCGCAAAGAAATAATTTTGGGAATTGCTTATTCTTTTTACTATTTTTGTTTTCTATTTCATTAAATCCCAGCTTGCTTTTTATTAATGATTGTCATTCTCGTGTCTTTGGGTTTATTTTATAGTTATTTTTCTAATATTCCTTAGGTAAGCATTAAGTTCCTTTCTGTAAGAGTTTTCTTAATAATGAAACATTGAAATTCATAGAACATTTTCTATGTCTCCTAGGTTTTGGCATTAATCATTTTTTTTCTCTTTGTTTTGTTTTTGGTCATTTAATTTTCTGGTTTGGATTTCTTTAAGTCCATGGCTATCTTCAAACCTGTTTATTCCCACATAATTAAAATTTATTTTAGCTATCTCTCTCTTAATTTTTTCTAATTATTTTAGATTTTAATCAGAGAATGTTTCTTATGAAATCCCTACGTTAAATAATCTGATAGGTTTTCTTTGTGGTCTAGTACAGAATTGCCCAATGGAAGTATAATGCAGGCCATATATATAATTAAAAAAATTAGTAGACATTTACAAAAAAGGCAAAAAGAGGGCTAAAATTAATTATATCTTATTTAATCAAATATATCTAAACATACTTTCAACATATACTCAATATAAAATTATTGAGATATTTTACATTCTTTTGCTTTCATACTAAGTCTTCAAAATCTGATATGTATTTTACACTTACAGCATACCTCAATTTGGACTGGCCACATTTCAAGTGCTTAGTCGTCACGTGTAGCTAGTGGCTACTGTATTGGATAAGATACGGTTCACCTTTGTAAATGTTCCATAGATACCCCTAAAAGATGCGTATTTAAAAATCTTATTTAAAAAACCTCAATATGCCCAATTCTTAAAATGATGTCTTAAATTACTTCCTTATTTAACTGGTGTGCTCCATGGGAAGGGGCTAGTAGTGAGTCCTTGGAAAAAGTCCACTGCAGGGTCCTCCAGATGGTCATCTTTGCACCAGAGAAAGTGCTGTTTTCTCTACTCTGAAAGCCTACTCAAGCTATTCCATAAATGAGGAATACTGATATACAGGACTGTAATTCTGGAGCCAAGACATTTTTTAAAAGCAGCTTTCGGTTTTGAAAATTCTTTAGATAAAATGCTTTATATTTCTGTAAAAGAGAAACTTTCCACTTAGCAGCACTAATCCAGATCTCTAACTGAATGCTGTTTGTCTCAACAAATGCTGTTAAAACCCCTGGCAACCTGCAATCTACTGTCTTCACTAACTTGACCACTCTAGGTACCTTATATAAATGGAATCATAGAGTATTTGTCTTTTTTCAACTGACTTATTTCACTTAGCCTAATGTCCTCAAGGCTCGTTCATGTTGCAGCATATGCCAGAGTTTCCTTACTTTTAAAGGCTGAATAATATTCCATTGTATGAATTGACCACATTTGCTTATATATTCATCCATTGACTTGTGGGTTGCTTCCACTAGAGCTGTTAAGATCCATGACTGGATCCAACTTGAAGACTTTCCTGACCAATGGAGACTTATGTTAACCAATTGTATGGACACAAATGCACTTATTCTGTCCCATACAGAGTGGTGATTTTTAACCCTTAATTAGCATAACCACCATGAAATTGTGCACCCTCTTTTCTATCCCTTCAAAACTCTTGACATCCCTTCTCTCCCTGCTCCTCCTCCCCTCCCCACCAACAACTATGAATGTCTTCACTGGTCTGAGCTCCCTAGCCTAGCAAGCTAATGAACTGATTTTTTTAAAAGCCCTGGTACTCTGTTTTATTCTGATACTTCTTGTACAATCAGTGGGTGAGAAGCACTGCCTGGGTACCTCAGTGACCATTTGATGTAGTTTTAACAGACTGTGTGCCCTCGTGGGACGGTAGTGGCTGAATCCTATGTTCCCGCTGCATAATTGTTCGCATGCCATTCCATGGACTTTACAGGCATCAAATTCAATTTCATATATTCCTAGTCGTGCTCAAGTCACACGACCTTCCTGTAAAGAATATGCTGCATTTTTAGTCTGTCTAGTTCAGTTGCCTTTTTGCTCCCATGCCTTATGCAAAGTTTTCCTTAGACATGACCAAAGGGGATGGCACAATTCGTGATGGACTATCCCAAGGCAACCATGCCCAAAATGGTTTTCACTGGGGGTATAAATTGTGCACAGCAGAGATGTACTCTCTCAGATGTATGCTGCCTCACCCAAATTGTACTCCAAGCTTTCCAATATTCTTGGCTTTTGTCAACCTAATTTGAAATGAGATACATCCTGCACACAGCAATGGGATAGTTTTGTGTAGCCTCACAGAAACACTTTCCACATTTTCATCAATCATAGTTGTAGAACCAAGTTGGGTACAGGCTAGCAATCAGATTTGTATTAAGGCTTTGAGTTATCACTACCACTGGTTCTTTTTTTTTTTATTGCTTAAGTGACCTGAATAAAGTCCACAGGATGCTCTTAACTAATCATGTAACTGTAATTCACGAAGTATTTTGCTCAAGCCTTTGGAGGGAACATGTTCCTGCTTACACTGACTTCAGTCCCCTGAAACGGATTTCAGACTTCTGACCTCCAGATCTTTAAGAGAATAAATCTGCGTTGTTTTAAGCCACCAAATTTGTGGTAATTTGTTACAGTAGCCATAGGAAATGAATACAACCACTTTGCCAGGTTTACGTTTTTTAAAAAGCCTAGGCTTATTGTATTTAAACGGAAAACTCTCACTAGTCACCAGCATTTATGTGGGACTAAAAACCATCCTTAAGCCAGAAGTATGAGTGTATTCACATCTTTTACTATTATGTGTTGAAAAAAATTGAAGTAAAACGATTTATCTTGGCAACGTTAACTTCAGAGAAAACTACCTGGCTGACATTTCAAACAAAATGGAAAGGCAAGGTTCAAGGTGCTGTAACATTTTGTCCTAGTACTAAGAAATACTCACGGCTTCGGGATTATGTTTAATAAATAGCAAAGTGCATACAGATATTTACAACAGTGTTAAAGGCAAACAGAGGTCCCATTCGTGTAGTCCCAACAATAACAACAAATAGGCACTGGCATGACTGTTTATAAATTCTTGAGAACAGTTGTTCTGAAAGTAGAGTTCCCTTGTAACCTTCAAAAAAAAAAAAAAAAAAGTCCTATTCCTCACAATGTGCTCTACATTAAACGTGGACTGGAATTACTTGGCGTCAATGCGCAGCAACTGCTCTTTGCCATTTATTGTCAGGGACTTCAACTCTCCGTCTTCTTCCACCTCCACTCTTTCTTGGCCATTCTCAACGATTCTCTTGGTGGTGATTTTTTTGCCACCAACGATGTCGGTGGAAGTCGACACGGATCTGAAGTTGCTGGACCCACCACGACCACAAGACATGGAGAAGGAAGAGAGGCCTCGGCTCCCCAGGGAACCAAAGGAACTAAATCCTGTATCAAAAGAAGAAAAACCACCCCCAAATGCTGGAAAGTCACTGAAGGCCGAGAAGAAGGGCGCGGTTCCTCTGCTTCTGCTTCCCCGGGAGCTCCTCCGACCGCCCACGATGTTCTCCAGCGGGTCTCCGAAGAAGTCGAACGAAAATGGGTCGCGGCCGCCGAAGAACTCCCTGAAGACCTCAGCCGGGTCGCGGAAGGTGAAGACGTACGCGAACGGGTCGCGGCCGGGCCCGCCGCCGCCGCCGCCGCCCTCCACTCCCGCCTCGCCATACCGGTCGTAGACGTCCCTCTTCTCGGCGTCTGACAAGACCTCGTAGGCCTGGGCCACTTGCTTGAACCGCCTCTCCGCCTCCTCCTTGTTCTCAGGGTTTTTGTCGGGGTGCCACTTGAGCGCCAGCTTGCGGTACGCTTTCTTGATGGCCTCGGACGTCGCCTGGCGGGGCACGCCCAGCACCTCGTAGTAGTCCACCATGTCGGAAGGCCCAGCACGACCCGCGGGCCACTGGCACGACGAGGGGTGCTGCTGGCTGCCCCCGGGGCACGGGCCCGAGCGGCCCGCGAGGCCACGCCGTCCAGAAGAGGCGCCCTTGTGACGGAGCCCGCATCTCATTGGTCGAGACCGCATCCCAGAATGCACTGCGGGGGGGAGGGGCGCGGCTTGCCGCTCTTCCGTGAGGGCCTGTGTGGCGTGTTTCGCGCTGGCGCGGACGCCCCGCGCATTGAGGCCCCGCCCACCCTCTGGCCCCGCCCCACCCGCCCTCAAAGCGAGCAGCGATCTCCAAATCGCGCCCCCCCCCCCGCCCCCACCCTGCCGGAGCAGGAAGAAGAGGAAGTTAGCGGGAGGAAGGCGGTTTGGGGCTGTGGCGGCCGGGGAGAAGGATTTTGCTGCAGTAGGCTTTCTGTCAGGCTTCTCCTCCGCCTGTGGGGGTAGAGTGATGGGGGTGCGTTTCGTCTGACCTCGTGCTCAAGGACAGCCGCATCATTTGTCCAGAACAGCAGTTCTCTGGTTTTTTGGCTCCAGGACCCTTTTGCTTTTTTAATGGAGGTTATATCTAGCGACACCTACCCCATTAGAAATTAAAGCAATGGAAAAAACTCGTTAGTCAACTTAATAGCAATGAAACCTTATATGGTAACATAAATCATATTTTTATGGGAAAATCACTTTTTAAAAAAGATTTTAGAGCGAGAGCACGCACGCGCTTGTGCGAGGGTGGGGGAGGGGCAGAGGGCGAGGGAGAGGGAAAGAATCCCCAAGCTGACTCCGCTCTCATCGCAGAGCCTGCATGGGGCGTAATCTCAGGACCTGGCGATCATGACCCCAACCGAAATCAAGAGTCCTGTGCTTAACTGACTGAGCCACCCTGGCGCCCCCAAATAACTTTTTCAAAGCAAAAATATTAGTGAAAGAGTGGCATCATACTACATTTTCCACGTTTCTCTGGTTTTAAAGAAGAGAAGGGGACTCTTCTATCTGCTTCTGCAGTCAATCTATGGCTATATCACGGGTGATGTGGCCACGGAGAAACTCCACTGTACCCTTAAGAGAGCATGTGAGTGAAAAAGCCAAATATCATTATGGAAATAGTTTGACTTTGCAAAATTCCCCTAAAAAATTCTTGGGTATCCCCAGGGTGTCCTGACCCATAGTTTGAGAACTCCTGGTCTAGTTTATCAAAAACGATTAAAACTTGCCGGCCATGCTTGTAGTGCTGTTGGTCAACGTTGCTGCAGTAATTATTTCCACTAAAACTGCTATACCATGACCATGACTTTCTTTTTGGCATTTTTGGACATTTGACCTCTCTCTACTTTCTCCTTATTCTCTGACACTATATTTTTTGCTTTGATAAATGGCAAGGCAATACCAATAAAGGTCACTTAGTTCTAAGAGGAAAATGATTAACCAGTGAACTCTAATATTTCATCATGAAGGGTAGTAGATCCAATGAGGCACTCTATGTCACCAGGACAAACTTCATGTCACCTTGAGGGGCCGAGTACGATCCTGGAGCTGGCACTTTATAATCATGCAATAAACAGCAGTAGGAAGTGGATTGAGAGTAGAGTCTAGTGTGAACAAAGCCATGTGGGAAAAGCCTGTTTGGGGAAGGTCAAGTGGTCCAGAACGAGTGGAGGGAAAGGGGCAGAGGGGGAGGGGTCAGGTGAAAGGGCTGGAGAGGAGGAATGAGCTTGGACAGGTGGGCTGAAGGTCCATTCCAGGGAATTTTGAGGGCAAGGCTGAAGAGTCTAAATTTTATCCTGGATCCTAGAAAGCTGTTGACCAAGGTTTCAGGGATGGTGGTGGGGTGGGGCAGTGCAGGGAGCAGCTGAATGCTGGGACTCAGAAAGGGTAAATAGGGGTTGGGGGCCCCAAAACAGGACTATGGCAGCTGGGTCTCACAGACAGTGGATTCAGCACTTGCTTGCTTGGATATGGGGCGTAGAGTGAAGGAGGGAAGTGTCACATCTATACAAAAACATTTACTGAGTGCTTACTGTCTGCAAAACCATGGACTGGCACCCAAGTGAGTGATTCCAAGGCTGAAACCGTGCTTGTAAGGGCAGTCATGTCCCCAAACCATCCAGGTACACAGAAGCCTCAAAAAGTCCTGAGGCTCTGTGTGATGCAGAAAAGTCATAAAATCATTATAATGGTGACTGTGTGTTTACAGCTCTTTTGCTACGGGTAATTTACATGTGAACTCTTATGACATCGAGAGTTCAGAAGAATTATTGCCCCTAATGTTTAAACTGGACTATGAATTTCAGAATTGCAGATAGGGGCACACCAATGGGTTGAAGCATTGCTGCCTCTTTTCTAGCCACCTAGAACCTTAGCCCAGGAGAAGGGGAAGTGCTTGGGGTGGGGTGGGGCTCTGTGTGGGTGGGGAGCTTCAGAGTGCATGTGTGTACGCGTGCACCCATATATAAGCATATGTGAGCCTGGAGATCTGTGGAGGAAGGATGTATAGGGAAAAGGGACTCTAAGTACCTGTTCTAAGTACCAGAATGAAGGAGTCCCTGTGAATATGCCCCACAGGACATCACAACTTTAAGAGTTAGCAGTTTCTCCGTGACCTTCCTATCAGGTCCCCGAATATGGGTGGCTAGTGATGTCCACAGTCAAAATACTGAGATCTGTGCTCCCATCCTGGGATTGTAACATACAGCAACAGATCCCCAAAGGACAGGGCGAGATGATCAGTTCTGTCTGCACTCAGATTTGCCTTTTCTTCGGGAAGGGCATTTCTGTTGGCGACTACCATGCTTGCTCCCTGACCCTACCCTGGAGCTTTTGGGGCACCAGCTAGTGCTGGGTATTACTGTGTGAGCACATCTGCCTTCTCCCCATTTATTTCGATTGGGTAGTGACCGTGGGGATCACAGCTTTACTTCTGGCTCCTAGGTGGCTGTAAATTTCCAACCTGGCCCTAAGATCTGGATAGTGGCCATGGGGAGTTGTGGTTAAGAGCAGGGTCTCCACGCTCTGACACTCAGGGCCTGCGTCTCAGCTCTGTCACTTAGTAAATACAGGACTCTGGCTGGTCGTATTCTCTCTCTGAGCCTCAGTGTCTTCCTTCGTAAAATGGGAATAATAGTATCTGCCTTTAAGGGATACTTTTAGGGGATTACATAAGATGTGTTGTAAAGTGCTTAGCACCGTACTTGATACCAAGTACATACTCCACACGTATATGTTCTTACTGGTTTTGTTCACCTTTCCCCTTTGCTTCCACCGGGTCATCAGAATTTCTCAGAGTGTCTGCTCTCGCTGCTGCCTGTCTGAGCGAAGTCACGTCTGTCCTGAGAAAGGCCTTCTGCGAATGTACGCGTGAGTGGGCTTCCCTTCCCGCCATTCACTAGCCAGCAGCATTCGTCTCCTTCTTGACATGCTTCACAGCCTCTGACATGTCTGTTTATCTACTTTCATTGTCAGTCTGTCTCTTCTGATGGAGCCCGAGTTCTGGGGAAGAGGGAGACTCATCTGTGGTGGTCTCTGTGGGCACTCCCTAGGCCCGGTGCCATGTAGGACTAAATAAGTATTTTGTTGGATGAATGCATCAAAATGATGATGGGTTGGGCAAGACCCTGAGTGACCATGGGGAAGGACATCCTGCAAGACTGCTATGGGCCAAAAGTAGGCTTGCAGTGTCACACTCTTCTCTTTCTAAAAGGCATATTCTGCTTTCTATTTCACTCCTAAAAAGGAAGTCTAATTTGTCACCACATAACTTTTTTCTCCCCTCTTGGTCCATGGAAATACTCATTTAATGCATTCAGAGGTGCTGGAGCTGCTCTCCCTTCTCCGGCCCCTCAAGAATGTGATTTGAGTGGTTGGTAAAGAATTCCAGCCAGTTAAACTGTTGTTGCCTATCAAGAAAGCTAGTACGCTTGTCAGGATGAGCACCGGGTGATGGATGGAAGTGTTGAATTGTACACCTGAAACCAATATTACACTGTATGTTAACCTAACTGGAAATAAAAGAAAAACTTGAGTAAATAAATAAAAAATAAAAATCTTGGGAAAAAAAAAAGAAACCTAGTAAAGCTCTGCCCTCGTTAGCTCTAAAGGTAAACTTCCTGCTATTTTCAGCTGACTGACCAGCTATAATCATGTGATACAATCAACCATTAACTTTGAGTATAGATTGATTCTTGCGACAGGAAAGTAGGAGAGGGCAGATTTTGGCAGGAGAGAGTCTTGGTGGCAAAGGCAGGGGAACCATGGCGGCAGGGTCCCAGGGTCCACGTCCGCTTGTCCTAGGCCTGCTGCTGTGCGCACTGAACCCCACTGTGTCCCAGGGTGGGAAGCTGTTGTTGGTCCCGGTGGATGGCAGCCATTGGCTGAGCATGCTCGGGGTCATCCGGCAGCTGCACCAGAGGGGACATGACATAGTGGTCCTAGCTCACGAGGCCTCCGTGTACATCAAAGAAGGAGCGTTATACACCTTGAAGAGGTACCCTGTGCCATTCCGAAGGGAGGACGTGGAAGCGACTTTTATGAGACTTGGGCACGGTGTTTTTGAGAATGAGCCTTTGCTGCAGCGTGTGGTCAAAACGTATAAGAAAGTCAAGGAGGACTCTGCCCTGCTTTTGTCTGCCTGCTCCCACTTACTGCACAACAAGGAGCTAATGGCCTCGCTGGTGGAAAGCAGCTTCGATGCCGTGTTGACAGACCCTTTCCTCCCTTGTGGCCCCATCGTGGCCCTGTACCTGGGTCTGCCTGCTGTGTTCTTCTTGAATGCGCTGCCGTGTGGCCTAGATTTTCAAGGTACCCTGTGTCCCAACCCACCATCCTACGTGCCCAGGGCTCTGTCCCTTAACTCAGATCACATGACCTTCCTACCGCGGGTGAAGAACATGCTCATTTTCTTGTCAGAGAGCTTTCTGTGCAATGTGGTTTATTCCCCGTACGGACCACTTGCCTCAGAAGTCCTTCAGAAAGATATGACTGTCCAGGACCTGATG